TCTTATTAACCAGTGGTAGTAACAGTGGAACAACAACAAATTTTGTAGTTGTAGTAGTAGCAACGTTACTAATTCTTTCTCTTTCAAGTAAACCATATTGGCATGAAAGGACTAAGTAACTCAATAAAGAACGTGGAAGCATGGATGATGTAGTGATGACGACGACGATGATGATGATGATAACGATGACGATGATGATGACGATGATGACGATGATGATGGTAATGATGATGTTGAAGACGATGATGATGATAACGATGATGATGATGAAGATGATGATAATGATGATGCTGATGTTGATGATGATGATGAAGAAGAAGATGATGATGATTCTTTGATAAGAGCGCCATCCACGTATTTTTAGAGTGAGAAAGTGAGTGCGTGATTGAGTGAGTGATTGAGTGAGTGAGTGAGTGAGTGAGTGAGTGAGTGAGTGAGTGAGTGAGTGAGTGAGTGAGTGAGTGAGTGAGTGAGTGAGTGAGTGAGTGAGTGAGTGAGTGAGTGAGTGAGTGAGTGAGTGAGTGAGTGAGTTAGTGGGTGAGTGAGTGAGTGAGTGGATGAGTTAGAGAGTGAATGAGTGAGTGAAAAAAGAAGTTGGAATGCAAAATAAGCCATCTCCATTGCCATTATTTCATATCCATTTGTCATGCTCAATATGAGCGGCCGATGCAACGGCGCGGAAATGTACAACACTGCCATGATACGAATGTACAAACATATCTACACACACACGCACACACACACACACTCACACACTCACACACGCTTGTATGTATAGAAGGTACATGAAAACAAACATCCTACAAAAACAAACATTCAACACCTCACTTCTTATACATGGCTCATACAATATCTCCACCCAACGTACGTAAATGCAACACAAAACGTATTGGAGCAAGTGATTGATCGCGTCACGTACTCCATAGCGAGCAATCTAATATGCCTACCACACCGCAGACTCGAACACGCCCAGCGTAGCGCCTGATGAGGTGTTGCGTACCATGTGGAGGGATATGCACAGCACACAGAAGCATGATATTATAACAACTCAATCATCGGACCTGAAAAAAGAGAGTGAGACAATTGAATGAGGGATGGAACGACACTGCAATCTAACGAACGAATAAAAGAATAACAAATGAATGAAAGATAGAATAAAAAACAGCAGCAGAAACAACCGCACTACGACATAAAACAAATAAAGAGGCAGTAAATGAAAATAGATGACATTTCAACTGACGTCACTGGAGAAGAAGAAGGATGAGACAAAACTGAATGGACAAATTGTTATTGACACCTGTGATGCCGCTCAAATGAACGAACGAACGAACGAACATCTCGAGCTGCTGGTCTGAAGGCTGCACGATGTAAGAAGAACGTCGTCACTTTATTACATACTACATATATTCACGTGCATGTGCGCTATATATATATATATATATATATATAGAGAGAGAGAGAGAGAGAGAGAGAGAGAGAGAGAAAGAGAATGAGAGAGAGAGAAATATTAGCGATAATAATGATATACATTATTGTATGAATTCTACCGAATTGTTGGCATTAATCAATTTAAAGTTGGTCTTTTCAATTTTCTTTACTAGAATTTTTTAGCTGGTGTTGTAATCTTCATCTTTGTGGTTTTCTTCTCCTTGTTCTTCATTTTAAAAATGTAAAATCTATCAGCTTTCTATGGTATAAACTATTGTGATTTATACAAAATATGCGAATTAGGTATATCTTCCAAAACAATCAAACCCACAAATGAGCGGTTGAATTGCCATGCCATATACGATGAATACAAGCTGAATAAATTTCAACGTTGACACAAATCCAACCAGCATTGATTGCACAAGTTACGAAAAAGATTTATGTATGGCACTATCATACAGTGATACTCATTTGTATCCATCAAAGTCAGCCAGACAGGCTCTCTAACAATCTCTAACCATTGTAAGAGAGGTTTGTACATTTTTGTATTGAACTGCTTTAAAAAATAAACTTGCTTTATTAAACTTTTTAGTTAAGTCACTTAAATTAGTTAATTCCAAATTATGCAACGATGTTAATTTAACTGAATATTCAAAAATATTCTACAACAACTAATACAATAAAAATTCAATAATAATAATAATAAATAATAAATACAATAAATAATTACAATTATAAAAATACAGTAAAGTAACTACATCTATTAAAGTCATCTGAAAATTTTTGGCACGGACGAAAATTTTCAGAAACATTCCTGTAATGCCTATTAAAACATCAATAAGTAAGTATTGCCTTATAATTCATTCATTCGCCGACATCCATAGACTCAATTACTTTTACAATTTATGTGAAGTAATCGTTGTATTTGTATGTGGTGTGAATAGGTTGTGTGTATGTAGTGAATGTGTGTGTGTGTGTGTGTGTGTGTGGTGTGTGTGTGTGAGTGGTGCGTGTGTGAGTGGTGTGTGAATGTGTAAAAGAAGTGCGTGTGGGTATGTGTGTGTGTGTGTATATGCCAAAAAAGCCTGTATAAACACAAAATAATATTTTTGAATTTCATGATGCAAATCGCATTACTCCTGTACAAATCTCTTAGTTTAACTATATCATGAAATAAAATAGTCCATATGAATTCGAGGTCACGCCACGTTTCACAAGTTAAAAAATTCAAAATATCTACAGTAAGAAATTGTGAGTAGAATTAGAAGCTCGATGTGGTAGCCGTCGTAATGGTGGCTGGTTGTGGTTCAGCTGTGGCTGTGGCTAATGAGTGGGATGGTAGATTGAGGATATTAATGATATCAGGCATGGATGATTTTTATGGGCGACAACATCAATCAAATGCTCTCGTGGAAAGAAAACCAAATTTTATATGTTTGTGTGTTGGCGTGTATGTGCGTGCGTGTGTGTGTGTATGTGTGTGTGGTGGGTGTAAATTATGTATCTGTTGTATTATATTTATTTAGTTATAATAAGTGAATGCGGTGTTGTTGAGCTAGTTACAAACGTGCCAGGATGGTAGTAATGAAAAAAATGAATGAATGAATTAATTGATTTATTAATTTATTTATTTCTACAATAACTTTGTTCTGAACCTCAATACTAAATCAGTAACCACAAATATTATGTTAATAGATAATAACAGTGTCGATACGAATAATGAAATTCCTTAAAATGATTTAGTGTTAAGCTCCGTAAGATATTTAGTTTTAAATGGTTATTAATAACTATTGATATAATTACAAATTAAACAACCTAATATTGTATATGTAGAATCATAATAGCTTCCAATTAACTTAGTAACAATTGATTCTTTTTAAGTATATAGTTCCAACTGCAACTAACTTTTAAATACATATTGATCTAAATTCATCGTCAATCTATTTTTTTAAAAACTAGTTTTCATGAGATTTACAGCAAATAATATTGATAGATATTCTGGCAAATTTAATTACAAATAAAAGTTTTACACAGATATTCACAGTACCATTTTGTTAGTTAAAAGTATGCATTCGTACGTCATTATTATTCAATGGAAACAAACCAATGGTATGTTTACAACATGAGGATGATTTTTGTGATGAAACTTGAAATAATAAAATGAACAGACCAACCTCGTTAGATGAGCGAATGAAGAAACGTTCAATAAAACATGAAAATAACAATTCATTTGAGGCGAACGACGCAATTTTGATTAATTGATTGCGAATGTAAAACGTTACAAAATATATTTTTGGTCAATCCAAGTTTTTTTTTTGTGGTGACGAAGGGAAAATTAGGATGCAGGAAGGCGAGCAAGCGATATCTAACCAAGCATCTTATAAGCCTTTTTGATTGTGCATGTTGATTGAATGCTTGCTCCTATGTATACATTTTATGCGCGTTTGTAAGTTCTGTTGTTTGTCTTTTTGTCTGTCTGTGTCTGTGTGTGTTTGTTTGGTTAGTTGTTTGTTTGCGTTTATCTCGACGTGCATTCGTGTCTCTTTGAATGGGCAGCTCGTACCTCTGTCGTGCCCATGTTTCTATAACATAAATAGGTACTCGTCTGAAAAATGTGTGGTGTAGAGTGCATTAAATGGAATGTTTGTGTTGCTGAATGGATGACCTCTCTCTCCAATTAACGTTTGACGCTGTCTTGAGACGTGTACATGTTTAAATGCATAAATAATTAGTTGTCCACATCTGATACACTGCATGTAATTGTGAATGATATATGGTGAAAACTTTTGGTTTGACTAATGTCACCAACAATGCCAATGTTACTGCAACTGCAATCGCAACCGCAACGACGACAGCAGCAAACGTCAACTTGTTTGTGGTCGACACACGAGCTTGCAACACCCAAGTAAACACGTGACTTGAATTTTGGATTTTCCCCTTGGGGAAACCAAACATGCACTTCTCAACTGTAAATGAAGGGAGTGCATGCATGTTCGCCTATTGGCTTGCGTTCTGTATTATACAATACTCTTACATGGGGAGTATGTGGAGTGATGATGATGAGTGCGGAGACATTGAAAGGGCTGGATTGCTCATTTGAGATGATCCTGATAATAATGATGGATGATGATGATGACAGCAGTTATGTTTCTTTGGAATATTTTTAAGATATTGGCTGAAGGATGCAGGCAATACAAGTCCAGCGACCATCACTGACTAACTCTAATTTGATTTTTTGTTAACCGACATTCGGGTGATTTTTTACAATACTTCCTTTCGTCTGGAAAGACATTCCAAAAATGTCCTGCGTAGGACATTTCGTCTTATTTTCACTCAAACAGAAACCTTGCGTCTTTAATAAAATATTAAATTTGAACGTAATTAATCAACCGCCATTTCCTGTTGGAAGTTCATTGACATGCAAGAAATTGAAGAAAAGTTACACGGAGAAAATTGTTCCTTACTTAAGTTTTCTTTTCGTCGTTGTGAGGGAAATTAGTTGTTTCATTTTTTTTTTGTCTACCTTTATTTTTCTATACATAGTGAGTTTCTGTTTGCGCGAGTGACGAAAAATGATTCATTCAACAAAATTTACAATTCTGTTGGCAGTTGTTGCTTTTGCAAATGTTGAACTGAATAATTCTTCTGAAAACGAACATCAAACAAAAGAAAATGCCGAAGAAGTGGGTAGCGTTGGGGCCGCCGGTGTGGGTCTGGATGCTGAGAGAAGAAGACATGAAAAAGACCCGAATGGCTATCTTCTCTTCTGCTTGTGCATGGGTCCGTACATGGTTATGTTTATTCATTTGTTTGTTCGCCGACAGCTTCATTAAATTTGAATTCATTAAAAATATTCATATACATATTGTATGTCATATACAATATTGAATATATAATCATTATATTATAATGCATTTCTATATTATTTTTGGTCTTTCCACAATGAAAATGTAATTCTGATTTGGACAGACAATAGGTTTTATTTTTATTGCCAAAAAAGATATTATATAATTATTTTTATGAAAAAAAGTCTTCATATAAAATTAAAAATGTCTAATTCAATCACCAGGTCGTGTGGGAAACCAGGTAGAGCATTTTTTGGGTGGGCTAGCCTTTGCAAAGTCGATTAACAGGACTCTAATACTGCCTTCTTTCAGAACTTATGTTGGTAACAATGTCGGTATTATGACAATGAAATGTTTTATACTATTTATAACTCTCATAAGTATCACTTATTTTTTTTATTTGAATTAATTACTTTTTAATTAACTTCAAATAAATTAACAATTCTACAATAATTTTATTTAACATTTTATTAAAGCATCTGCTAATATAAAAATTTTATTTAAAAATTTTTTTTTGACTCTCTATTTTAGATTAATAATTTTTTCACAAACAGAAGAATATACCTTTTAATGAATGGTTCCAAATAGAACCACTTACAAAGTACCATAGAGTTATTCTTGCAGAGGAGTTTATGGAACATTATGCTGATGATTACTGGCCTGCCAATAAGAGATTTGGGTTTTGTTATGGCAATAAGAATAATAATGAAGACTGCAAAATGAAAGAAGGTTGAATTTTTTAGCTAAATTAATAATTATTTTCCTAGTTATGAACTAAACCAAAAATTATTTTCATAATTATTGACTGGGTTTCAAATTAAATTATGATCATAAAATTATAATGTGTAATTTAGGTAATCCATTTGGACCATTCTGGGATGGGCTGGGTGTAAATTTTGTCAAAGATGTCAAGTATCAGATGACTTACTCCAATGAATTCGACAGATGGGCAGCTGAGTGAGTAGCTCAATTTGAAAAATATATTTATAACATAGTTGTTGGGGGTGTTATATTTCATCTGTTTTAGTTTTTTTGTACGTGATTTTTTTCAAACATGATTTTACATGCCATCACAAATCAGGTTTCCTGCTGCTCAGTATCCAGTGATCTCAATGAAGGGGGCGCCAGCAACCTTTCCAATGGACCCATCCCACTGGCACCTGCAGAAATATCTCATCTTCTCCGATCAGTTGAAGAAGGAGGCAGATGATTACATCAACAAACACTTTCCTCAAAGGCCATTCATTGGACTCCACCTCAGGAATGGACCAGACTGGGTTTCCTTATTTGTGAAATTTTTCTGTTCCATCATTCATTTTGCTTTTATTTTTAGCAATGTGGGACATTTGTTTCTATTGTTTTTTTTTTAAATTAGTGATTATCTTGTGTTTGCAATGTTTTATAACATTCCAGTGTAACATTACAAAATTACTTGACCAGTACATCATATGTATCATGCATACATATCAGTCATTCATCAGTTGGTTGTGAGTTGTGACCAAAATGTAGTTAGAAAGTTTTAATAACCCGATACATTATACTAACATTAATGAGAGCTTACTTTATGTAATTAATAAATTGGCTTTATATCCCTACTGTTAGAATATTTTGAATATTCCATAGCAAGAATTTATCTGTTATCAGTTTTTATTTGCTAACGTGACGGCTTCATTTCAAATATTTGTAATAAGCACTTAATTAATTAATAAGTCAACACACATTTTTATTTTGAAATAATTAAAAATATAATCAAATCAATAATTAACAAAGAAAGATAAATAAATTAGTTGTAAATGACAAATTGCTGGGTAGGAAAATGCCTGCCAGGGGGCAGTAGGAACAGCCAGCTACATGGCCTCACCTCAATGTCTACAGGGCACCAACGACCTCATCACCAAAAATATGTGCCTTCCATCTACTGCTGAAGTTCTCAGGTATCTTCACCACACCACTAACATACACACACCAACAAACACACGTACATTCCTTATTTCACATTTATTTAAAAATTTTCTCTTATTACAATTTATCTGACAGGTTAACTAAGAATTTAGTTATTACCCAAAGAATAAAGGTGGTATTTGTTGCTACAGACAAGTACCCGCTTCTGAAAGAGTTGAAAGAGCATTTGAGCAATAAAAACGTTAGATTTTCATTAGATTCATAATTTATCACTTTTATATTTATTCTCCATTTATATTACCTTCATGCCAGGTTGACGTTTTCCATGCAGATCCCTGGCTACCCTTAGTTGACTGGGCCATTCTTGTTAGGTCCAATTATTTCATAGGCAATTGTGTATCATCTTTCACCTCATTTGTTACAAGAGCCAGAAATGTTGACGAGAAGCCCACTTATTTTTGGGGCTATAGTAAAGTATAATATAATGTTTGATCCATCGGCCAATTTTTTGTTATTTTATAACTCTTTCTAAAATATAGTGATCTTTTGCAATTCCTTGTTATTCATAATTTGCATGTCAGCTTTTGTTAATTTTACTTATTAGTTTTAATTGTCAACGCATTTACTAATGTTTATTGTTTATTAGCCATCACTTTACCGGTTTCAAAATGTATTATGTTTTGTATTTCTTTACAATATTTTGTAATCTGTATATCAAGGACAGATTTTACGTACATTCACAAATCATCTATTTATTGCATATCCAATTACACTGTTAACCAAGTTGTATAACAATAATTTGAGCAATCAAATTACTTAGTTTCTACGCTATCGTTCACTAGATAATAAGACGCTTTACTGGCAGTCTAGATAATTGGGCTTTTATACTTTACTCTTGACAGAAAATTTTTTCTTTCATTCTTCAACAGCATGTAATTTGTTACAAATGCACGTAATAAATCTGAGGCACGTTGTAGAATACAAAATCCAAATATGGTTGATGAAAAACAAGAAGATTTTCCGTTCTGCTCGGAACAATTCTTTTGTGTGGTTGGCAATTTTTGTCGTCTGCTGTATCCATTTCTATAAGATTATATTTAGCTTTCGAATTCGAGTCTTCATTGACGAAAGCCAGTTTTACCACGTATATCTGATTTGGTTCCAAGAGAAGGCACCTTTTGAAAACTGCCTTCATAGGTGAGTAAACTTCTTTCTTGAACGGATAAGTACCCATCCCGATCAGCTTGTTGTTTTCGTAATCGGACCCTAGTCTCGATATTATAACGTTTACAGCTGACGAAGTTTTCTTCTTCACGACGCCAACCCCGGTCATAAAAATTTTAGCTTTTGTGCTGAAATATAAGAAATCGAGGCCCAGAACCTGTTCACCACTTACTTTCATCGTGTCAAATCTATCTACGCATGTCTCTTTTAATGTTTGACGAGGTTTCATGGAAAATGAAAGATCTTCATCTAACTTTCCGAGCGCAATCGCTCGGTTGATGTGATTTATTTCGGACTGGGTAAGTACTGGAGCGAGTTTTATTGCTTCATGAAATTCTTGCTTCGTCATTGTCGGGAATCTAATATTTCTGACAATTTCATCGCCCAGGATATCTCTTATTTTCATGTTAAAAATGTAACAGCAATTTGCTTCGCTTTCTCCGCACATTTCATTGTAAATGTCTTTTGTCATATCAAACTCGATTTTCTTCATGCTCAATTTGTGCTTCGCCCACTTCACACAAGCCTTGAGAAATTCTGTTTCTTTCACGTTAACAGCTTCTGTCTGCAACAGATATATTAAAATATGTTTTGGCGCAAATTTTATAGAAGAATGATTTAATATTTCGGAAGCGTTCACTCGGAAATACATTAACAATATATCTTTGGTATCGACATCATTGTAGAAGAGAACAATTTCGAAGATGGGAAGAAAGTTCTCCGGTGAAACGTATTGTACTAAAAATTCGAAACACATATCGAACAAATCTTTCATCATGTATTTGTGACTGAGATGCACCAGATCCAGTATATTATCTTCGTTCAGTGTTAATTCTTCATGATATACAAATCTGAAAAATGTTAACGTAAGTTTGGCTTGCCGAATGTTATAGTTCAATTTTTCGTTTTAATAGATTTTGTAAAACGATAATATTAATAAAGCTTAAAATATAGTTTTACAATTTATAAAAGTATAGCTACGTTAGAAAATTGCTGAATGAAGGCGGTTCGACGTCTTCAATTGTAACTTTTTTTACTTCCTTCTTCTTTGAAAAAGCGCCGTCCAGCATAATTTTGAACACTACACTAGCCTGTGAAAGAACAGATTTATGGACATTGAACTCTAATCTCTTCGCGCCAGTTTTTCCTACGACAAAAGTTAAATCTGACTCAACGTTCGGGTTGTCAGGATTGACGAAATTCGTTTTGATGTTCAGAATGCAGGAACGCATAACGGAGTCATCGTACATGCTGTTCAACAATTTGTGCTCCGTTTCATAACTGCCGTATCCTCCGACAAACAATTTTTCACACGAATCCATGATAGTGGTGTTCTGTCCTGATTGTATTAGATTGAAAATTAAAATGAATTATAAAATTTTAAATTAGTTGTTATTATATATATATATAGGTACTTCTGCTAAATTGGTGCTACCAATTGATGACATTGATTGTGAATACGGTTAGGTTTATACCAGTTACTTATAATTTTTTCTGTAATAAACATGTCCCAAGTTCTCAGCCAAGCATTTGGTCTTTTTACTGATTTTTTTAAGTTACATTGTTAATGTTTATTTTTTATTTTTATTAATATTTTTATTGAAACTCAACGTCATAGAAAGAACAATTCATGTACGTTCAGTTATAAACAAAAGAAGCAAGATATAATGTCAAGATTGTTGTATATGCGTTAGGATTCGTGATCTTTCCTTATATTTGTGAAAATTTTGTTAAATATAACTTATCTAATTTCATTTGGCTGACCAGTGAAATGAAAGCCCACATACTCTAAGTGGCATTAAACACTTTCAATTAAGAATTAGGAAGGAATAACCCAATGTTAGTTTGCGACATTTCATTTTTCCATACACGTTGTTCAGTGGTCATTTTGGTTGGCTAGTTAACTCAAACGGTAAAAATACCATATCTCGCAATGTTTGGCACGTTCCATTTACATGGAAATTATAATTTGTTACAGCTCTAGATTTTGTTTGACCTCAGTGAAAACATTTCTATTATGAATCAAATAAAATTTTGAACAATTTTGAAATTCAAAGTCTGCAAATAAGTGTTTAATTCAACCAAGCAGTACCATCAAAAAACTAAGACTATGATGACGATTTAAACATACAACAAACAACATCATTGATTAGGCAGTAAAACAGGAAGGCCAAAAAACATGAAAGACAAGGAGAACAAACGACGATTGATCCCTCGCAGAGAAATGCCTAGCAACAACGGTTTGTTGCGAGTTAGACCGGGAACCGTGGCATGATGAGATATTAGAACAAGCGTTAGACATAATGTGGGTTATCAGTTTACTGAATGAGTCAAATATGTATCTGCTTAGAAAATTAAGAATTTAATTTAAATTTTTAGGCAAGTTCGATATATGTCAAAACAAAATCGTTAATTCTTTAATTGATGAAAGCCAAACCTTCAAATTATATTTAACTTACATTCTTGTCTTCATTTGTTTAAACGAAAATGAAGTAAGATAAAACTTTAGTACATATGAAAAAAAATAATATGCCAAGGCAAAATGAGTTCGAGTGTAATTAAAAAGTTTAATGGCAAATAAAATACATTATATTACGTACAAAACAGAGTCTTAACATCTACAGATGCTTTCAAATTTTAAAACTGGCCCAGCAAAGTAATTTGCACTGCCGATATGCAATGCAAACAAACGCAATAAAACAATCAACGTGAAAATAACAAATGAAAACTAATATATTAATCCAATACAGTCAATTAAGATTGATTGATTTTCAAACTTTAATTCAGGTAATAATTATAAAAGAAGGAAGTGAGATAAATAAAAAGCTTTTGCATAATCGAATAAAGCACACTCGCTTGCATGCAAATGTATAAATAAATTTCTATCTCATTGATTTGCATGTAAATATAAAAGAAAGCAAGTAGAAGTTTCCAGACAGTGGCGGGGGTTCTGCAACAAATTTTTTCGGAACGAATCTTTTTTAAACCTTATTAGGTGTTAAGTTTTTTTTACAATTTTTCGTTCATTTCTATTAACAATTTTCACATAATTACATTCAATTTGTTTGCTATGCCAAAAAGGTTAAATTTGAAAGAAAAGATATTTTAACTGGGTGCCTATTTTTTCAAATGTTATTTTTGTTACTGAAACAACTTAAAATTTTATTACTGTAAAGAAATGATTTTGTTGATAGCTATTGCTGGTTTTAAAAAAAGATTAATTGGTCAATTAATGTTTTATGGCCATTTCAGGACTAAACACACACACGACAAACACACAGCACACACACACACCCACATATTCACCACAAACACCCATGTATACTTACACATACACTCCACAAACACACACGTGCATGCACAGAATTAGCTTTAATGACAGTTTGGTTAACTAGCTAATTTCTGAAGAAACGAAACAATGCAGTTACGATCGACATTGAGTTTGAAACTATAATGCTTAAACTACTTACTGGGAATCGAAACTGAAGACATTTTAAAAAGCATTTCATAATTTAAGAATTATTTTCTAACATTCTATACGCTAAAATATTTTATATTTTAAAATTTGTATCGGCTACATTCATATTTGGGATTAATATAAGCCACGCCATGTAACTTACCAAAGAAAACGTCTGCAATTAGTTAAGGACTAAAATAAATAAAAATGAAAAACAATTAAATAATTAATTATATACATACATATATGTGAGTTAATATATTATAAAACATTAAAAGGCATTTGAAAAATATAAGAATTCTCGCATTGTTATTAACAGGGTTTTAATCACCGCTTTAAAACAACTATTGGCTAGACAAAAATTTATTTTTACATAATATAAATTAGGTATTCGTAAACAGTGCAAATTATTTCAGACCTTTGTTTCCGGTCTATCGAACGACAACATTCAATTGTCGATATTAAAAGACGACCATTTCAATCAGCTTTACAATAGGAATTTCATTACCTTTAAAGTAAAAGAATTTATATTGATATAATATTTTAGAGTTACATATCACATTTATTTTTCCGTTCTTGAAATTTTCATCGCATTTTTGACACTTGCCGAATTTCTGTGCCAGGTAAGCCAGGCAGCAATATGACGTATGGCCTTATTTGGATTTCTGCAGGACAGCGAGACGTTAGACAACAATCAATGAAAGTAGCGAAACCAGCATGTTAAATTTCTGGTAAAATTTTGAAATGGTGAGTGTGAATGGGAAAATGACAGATGTAAAAAAAAGACTTCAAATTAAACATTTAAAATTTTATAGTTTGTGTTTTACTCAAGGGTCGAAATACAGTTTATTTAATTTGCTCACACGAAATCGAAAAACACGAAACAATGAGAGGTAGCCATGTCTTTCGGCATATGCTTGAGATGAAATGGCAAACATTTTAAAATTTTGTTATCATTAAAGGTTTTGCCACACAATTAAAACTCTTGCTTGGCTAACAGAGTAACGAATGTACATACAACCATTCAAAAGTGTTATGTGGCAGTTGTCTGTCAAGTTCAACAGGTTTAATAATCTTAGTCCGAAAATGCAAAAATGAAATTGATAACTTATCTGGAGGAGGCTTGTGTTTCTAATTATTTCTTCGCTACAACCAAATTCAAATGTCAGTGGTCTATTAACTGTGACAGACACAACGCATGATCAACATTCAAACAATACGGACCGACCGACAGTATAAACAACATTTAGGCAGCAAGCGCTTAGAAAGAAATCATGCGATGGCGGGCAACTCATCAACAATCCACCCGCCATCAACAGGGTTTCAGCTTCACGTTAGTCTCGGTTTGTCAATGCACACCATCCGTGTTCGAACTCCTCGCTGAATGGCTTGCAGACGACATTTCGGGGTCGTCACCGTTAGAGGCAAGAATATATTATCGCCCATGATTTTGTCTTTGTTGGTGTTTTTGTTGACGTTGCTACTGATTGAAGTTGTCGGTTCTTTGATTTGTCTCACAAAATGATTGTTGTTGGTAGTGGTGACTGTGGAGTTGTTGTTGGTCTGAACTGCTTCGTACTTCGGCATGGCTTCCGAGTTGTTTCTCCTGCAATAGAAAAAGCATTCATCGGTAATTAAATTAACATAAATTAACAAAGGAACGAACAAAGTGCAGCCGGCGCAGTCTCCGTAGAAGAGAGCGCCAGATAAAGAACAGATTGACATTTTGTTTTAATTAACTGCGGTGCATTATTGAGCAGAAGGCACAGTGGAAGCACGAAATAGGGCGATAATACAGGTGATATCAAAAAATATGAGAACAATAAAGTGAGGCCATAAAGTGTATGTGTGTGGCGTAGGTACGCAAGCATATATACATACAGTATATATAAATACATACACATGTTTGTACGTGTGTACGTAACGCACACATGTATGCATGCGTGTATGTAAAAAACAATGCGTAGGTAAGGTTCACCTGTATTAAAATGCATGGCATGAAATGGATATATGCAATAATCAATTTGCATTATATACATACCATTGTTTGTTTGTTTTTTTGTTCGTTCGTTCGTTTGTTTTTTTGTTTGTTTGTTTGTTTGTTTACTTGTTTGTTTGTTTGTTTGTTTGAATGCTGCTGGCATGTTTCTAGATATTTATAATTGTGTTTGTGCTAAGATCACCGTGTTTCTAGATATTTATAATTGTGTTTGTGCTAAGATCACCTTTTTCTCAAACTGTGATGACTACAACAATGATGATGATGAAGATGATGATATTAATAATAATAATTATTATTATGACAACAACGGATGGTTTTTAGTTGATTATATTATATTATATTATATTATTTACTTGTGTTTTTCACGGATCATCCAATTCAATTAATTAATTAATTCATTCATTCATTCGTTAATAAATAAATACGTAGTGGAAATAAAAGAAGTGGAGTGATGAGTGAATAATGGGCAACCCACAAACATGAATACGTGCTAATCGGCGCTCACACACTAAGCACATGCCATTGGCCGTGATCTTTTTGTTGCATTCGAACCCTTGACCACTAGCTAGGCCATAGTTTATAATGCAAATTTTGTGGTTAAGAAATTCCAGAAAACTTAAAAAATCTAAGTTAAAAAAATTATTAAATCGAAGAGTAACCATGAAATCATTTAAATTGAAGAATAAATCATGGCTTCGTTAATTCACACTTTAGTAGGTTGGCGTTTGTTTCCGATATATTTCGTGTTTTCGCATGCTAATTGTCCATGACAAGATGATGTTTGTATAGACTTCGAATTATTTTTTTTATAAAAAAAAAAAAACCAGAGAGGATAGAAAAAAATTGTTGTAATTAGAAAAAAATTAATCAGAAAAAGTATAAAAACGTTTTGTGAATGTTGTTTTAAAAATTCTAATCCCTAACTCCTGCAGCCATTACTAATGCACAAGTATAAATACTACTGCTATTACTTCTACTGCTTCTACAACTACAGCTGCTACTACTACTACTACTACTATTACTTCTTTTACTACTAGCAGTTGAAACGCTGTTGTTGTAATCTTTACCACTACTTCTACAACTGCCTCTGTTGCTGTTTTTATGTTCCCACTACTACTGCTGCTCCTGCTACTATTGTCGTTACTTCAGCTACTACCCTCACTGCTTCCATTTTTGTTAGAATTAGCAAAGAAATTGCAATATTGGTCTTGCAATAATTGCTAGTAAGTTTTAAATAGTACGCTAATTATCAATAGTTATTATTTAATCAGTGTTACCAAAAGGGTAAGAACACTTGTAACATCTAGACTAATTTTTAGACTGTCGCTTGAAGTATGTGGTGGTGACGTGCTAGAGTATTGAAATGCATCTAACCCAAGGTAGGACGTTATGTTGATGTGTTTATCGTCTTGTAGACTGAGAGCTTCTCCGTTTGAAGATGAAGCTACGTTGGCGGCTGCCACTGTCGTTGGCGCTGCTGGGCTTTCGTTAACTGAGTAATTTACAATAATATTTATAATAAATTAAATTCATCATTTTAAATTGTATTTTATATCTTTGCTGATTTTAAAATTTAGTTTAAAAAATGGTTTAAAATAAAAACCGTCTTTCCATTAAAAGTTTTAACGAGGTTCGAAGAAACAGACCGTCTTTACGTTGTGCAGGTGCAGGTGACATCATTTAAAGAATAGACAGCGTCTAATAACTGCACGTGGGATTCGAAAGAAACATATGAGCTAAAATAAAGACAGAAAAACGAACGCGCCTAATTAGAAAGGAGATGATCATATTTCAATTTTTTGCACAGCAACGCAAGCGTACGGATCCAATCTATTGTGAAATACGTACGCCAGCGAAGACCATTGAAAGCGCTCACGTGAGAACATTAAAAAAAATTGGCGACCAGGTGTGCAGCAAGTTTGTCGCATGAATTAATCCAGGTGGATGCCAGGTAACCATAACAACTCCTCTCATAACCAACTAAACCATATTTTAGGCATCACAGGTTTGTACGCTCGTGAACTCATTTATTAAAACTCTATTAAATGAAATTTTATTTCTAACGTAAACTTATACAAGTAGTCTCGAAGCATTTCAAATTGAACTTGTTTTTAGTTCGTTACGAGAAAAAAAAATAGCAGTGCTATCATCTAACACATGTGGAAAGTTAAAGCGTTCTCAAATTATCATGCTGGCTGTCAAATTTTTTTAGTTTATCGAAGAGTTTCCGGTCTGAAAATTAATATTCGCTATTGTTCATGAAAAAAATGTTTTCTGATATGCAAACAGCCAAACAAACAAATGAATGAATAAATGAAAGATTGAAGAAACAAATGAATGAAGAAACGAACAAATGAGTAAAAAAATTAATAAAGGAAAAATAGATTAAAAATGGAACCATCATAGATTATAGGAAGACAATCAGGCAGACAAATGGTAAAAATATGTGGTGTAGTGTGTATAACATAACACAATGGTTGAATGACTGAATGATTGCAGAGAAAGAGAAAGAGAGAAAGAGAGAGAAAGAGAGAGAGAGAAAAAAAAATAGAAAAAAGAGAAATTAAAAGAGACCGTGAGGGAGACTGAGACATACAACCTATACACCATATCTAGAAGATCAATAAATTGAACAATGACAACTACAAAAAAGAAAAGACTATTTATTAGAAAATATGGATTCATTTTTAGTATGGGACGGCATTGTTTTTTAATTAGTATTTCTAGGAACTGTCAGATCGTAACGTTACCTTTACTGCCTCTTTCTTTTACTTGCATGTATGTTTGTATGTATGTATGTATGTGTGTGTGTATGTATGTATGTATGTGTGTGTATTATTATTATTATTATTGAAAAATATAGTAAAAATTTAAAAATAAAAGCAATCCTGTACTTTTTAATTTTATTATAGAAGGGATTTTGTGAAGCTTCCGAATTTAAGTACAGTGGAAGGAAGGAAATGATGATTATGATTATCTGGACGGTGATGATACTGATTATATTAAAGATGAGGATGATGATGAGGATGATAATGATATAATTAGCAATGTTGATACCAACGTACATGCTGGCGGAGATGACGTCATAATGATAACGAATGATGACGATCTACGTCATCATTCGTGACGATGACGTTGCACTTTAATGTTGATAGGAACAACAATGATGGTGATGACGACGGTGATGATGGTGGTGGTGACGATAATGATGGTGAAATTGCACTCCGAACAGAGATTGTAAATATTATCTTTAATTTTAACTCGCCAATCACTTAGTCGTAGTCAATGTTTGCCTTATCGCTGTCAACTTCACTCTTTAGTCGCCCCACCTTAAGTGACGTTTTGAAAATGATGTTTCAAACTTGTGTTTATTTTTTAAACGTGACGAGTTGAGACATTGATCACGTTTTTTGTGTCGATAGTGATGCTGTTTGTCATGATAATGATGTTGTTTGTGGTGTTAGTGATGATGTTTTAGTGTTGATAATGATATTGTTGTTGTTGTTTGGGTTGTTATTATTGATTTTTATTTTTCCCAATAAGTTTCCTAATTGAGGAACCATTCCTCCCTGCTAATGATAACATCTGACTAATCCCAAAACTAAACTATGACATTAGTCTAAACTAAACCTGCCTAGCTATGAATGGAGAGCATACTTTTGACGTTGTAGTTTGTCATGTAATTGCTGTATTAATGCTTTTTTTACTTTATTTTGTTTTGTTGTTGTTGATGTTATTGATGTTGTTATTGATGTTGTTGATGTAACTAATGTTCTATTGCAGAAATTAATGTTGTTGTTACAAATTTTTGTACAGCACAACTTAATTTGTCACCACAGTGACACTGTTGTCAGCAACGTCACATTCGCGTCATCATTGCAGTTGTTGACGCCATCCCCATCATTCATCATTGTTGTTGTTGTTGTTGTTGGTGCCATCGTTATTTTTATTGTTGATGTCATCATTATTTATCATCATTACAATTCAAATTGCCTTCGTCATCATCTTCGACGTCATAGTCGTCGTCGTCGTCTTCATCACAGGCAGACGAACTTCTAATATAGAGATTAGTTGACAGAACAAATATTCCTGCCATTACTCTGGGGACTTTACTATAATTTTGTGCATAACTCTTGCTTATATCAGATGGATGGATGGATGGTTAGATGGATGGATGAATGAATGGATAGATGAATGTATAGATGGATGGATGTATGGATGAATAGATGAATGGATAAACTAATATGAGGAATTTTGGGGACTTTATGGCTGAAGGGATGATTGATCTAATGAACGAAAAAGTAAAAATCGCTGTTTGGTTGAATGAATAAATTATGAACATTAAGAATGGACGTTTGATGAAAAATGTCTAGATGAGTGGCCTAGCAGATCTTTAAATTGAATCGATTATTTAATAAAAATTTATAATACGTGACTGCAGATTTGAATATGCCTAATGGTTTAAAAAGGTTAAAAAAGGTTAAAGGTCAATTGAACTTTTTCAATGTTCAGAGGATTCAACAACACGCCACAAACATCGTAAATTAATACATGCTAAACGACGCATCACACACTAATCATGTGATGGGGGGAATCTTTTTGTCATATTCGAACCTGGTTACTGCGAAACTGCACCAGGCGACTTTAATCACCCCGCGGTAGGGTAATCAATCATTTCTTTCTATTAATATAACGTTTGACAAGATAAATATTTGATTTTTTAGGTCAAATTAATCAGAAATGTATAACTGATAGTTTATGTAAAACTGAGTTCTGTGAAACGGCGTACCACAACAATAATTCTTTTTTTCTAATGAAATTTCAATAGCGAAATAGAAAAAAAAATTACTCAAAACGTAAGTTTTCAATGAAAACGTAACCGTAAAATCAATTCTTCTACTAACTAAAAGATGTGATGATGACGACGACGATGACGGCCAGTAGCAGGGCGACACCTGTCGTCAGAAAAACAACGTTTAAGACTTTTTTTAGTCGGCTATTTTGACTACGATCGTTGATCTGGCTAAGGGACCTGATGGCGTCGAGGTCTTCTCCTGAGATTCTGTTGTCCTCAAGGAAAACGAGAATTTTTTGCGGTAAAGTCAAGTGGGGAGAGTTTTGTGGTTCGGTCGGTCGGAAACGTTTTTTCTTCTTCTTCGTCGACGAGTGGTTGGATGACGGCGACTTTGTTTTCTCTCCATCCGAATTGTTGGTTTTGACGTTGTTGTTGCTGCTGTTGTTCTCATAGCTAACGAAAGAACTGTCATTGAAAATTTTTGATTTGTTGTTGTTGATGCTGTTGTCGATGCTGGGGTCGTTGTGCTCGTTTTTGACGAACGGATCTGATTTGCTAGCAACATTCGTTGTGGTTAGTTTCGTAGCTGGTGATTTTTTGATGCCAATCACGGACGATGGGATTGGAGATGAGGATGACGACGATGAGGATTGTTTCGCACTCTTTAGAAGTTCCACTGACGCTATTTTATTCTCTGCAAATTCAAAATCGTTTGCCTAATCTTCATTCAGTGCTTTTAAAACACCAAGTTTATACTGAAAATAATCTTTTAAAATTTGGTATAAAAAACTAAAGAGTTAAATGACAAATTATTTAAATTATTGATTAACTTTTTGATTTATTAAATATGAAAATGATTGCAGTTACATGAAACCAAGTAAGTAGTTGTTTTATGTAAAATAATCGTTTTCATGAATTAAAGATTCGATGATTTGCAAATCAATTGTCTATTTGTGTCTTGTTAAGACTCAGCTTAGATGTTCCCACGAGCAAGTTCAACAAGAGACTTTTGAAGACTTAAGAAATTTATTTAGGCATTTAAGACATTCTAATTACGTTGGTGACATAAATTTTACCTAATTTTTATTTTGGCAAAAACTTCTATTTTTCAGTATGAAATATGATATCATTCGTTGGCACATACCTTTATCAACGTTGCTGAAAGACTTCATCCTCGCTCAATGAACTAACTTGGAACAGGCGATGTTCCTTCAGTTCAAAATCTTCTACTTCAAATTATTCCGTTTCTCGGCTCACATTCATGTCAGTTTATGTTTCTGGCATGTCGAATTCATCTGACATTTTAAATTTTTATTATTAATGACAATTTTGATCTCAAACAAACTGTAAGAAGAAATTTTTGTTTGAAAATTTTATCATCAAATCAAATGGCATCTCTGATTTTAGTAATAAAATCCATTCTGAGAGTTGATTCAAAAATTTTTTTGAAACAATTTTATTGCATTATAAATAATTAATTTAATCAATATGTTTCGTTCAATCTCTTCTTTTGTTAGTTTCTATAATTTAAAACAGACAGTCTCTTATTGTTCAGCGGTGGCGTCATTTCACTCCATTAAATCCTCAATCTACCTGTATGTAACGTTTTATATCAACTTATATTTTATGAACGAGAACGCATGTCATACTTGTACGTAATGCACGGATATAAGGGGCAAGTAGGTGCGGATATATATAAAAGTGTGTTTGTGTGTGTGTGGTGTGTGTGTGTGTGTGTGTGTGTGTGTGGTGTGTGTGTGTATTTGATTGTATTAATTAATATTTAATTCATAAAGGTGAGCATCGCTTTACTTTGTAGTTAACTGAATTATATATTATTGAGATGACTGAAAGCTTTTCTTGTTCGCGGCCTGTTCCTTTCCATAAAAGTGTGGCCAACAGTTTATTTGAGCTACTTTGAAAAATTTTCAAATAGCAATAAATCTATAATCAGCTAAGCCCGTTTAGCCAGATAGCCGGGATATTAGCGTTTGCATCATAAACGCTAGAGAATATTAAATTTACATGTATGTGGTTTCTATAATGCTTTTTAAAAGCAAAATTCTAAGAAAAAAATTAAAATTTCATGATTTATTGAGTCCACCGAATCATGCTTGTCATACTTCTTATTTCTACTCTACCGATTTTAATTGTATTCAGGGGTGTTTTTCTAATATACATTAAATACGTGTCTTATTTGTGTTATGATGGTGAATGTGTTATATTTTAGTTTTGTGTTATTCAGGCATGTGTTATTAAAGGTCTGTATGGAGTTTGCTACCCATATCGTTAACACATTGTACTTTGAAGTTTTAAAAAATTTGGTACATCCCTTTTATCATGTAGATTAAGTTTTAGTTCAAAATAAAAATATGAAAAGTAAGTAAAAAATCGAAGAAAAAGAGTTTTATATTTAAATTTTGTTTGTCGTTGGATATTTCGAAATGGCCTCCAGTGCTCGCAAGGTTGTCACACTTCACCTCTACAAGCAACTTTTGAGGGAAAGTCAAAAGTTCAACAATTATAATTACAGGTTATATAGAGAATTAGTTAGTTTTTTAATTTTATTATTATTTTATTATCATTAAATTTTGATTTAATTTTAGTTTTTGGCATTTTTTGTCACTGATCACAATCAATGTGATTGATTTTATTTCTGAAAAAAGAATCAGGCAGTGGTTTGTTTAATATTAATTAATTAATAGTGTTTTAGTTTAGCTTTTAGTTAGACTTTACTCACTTTTTTAGAGACAAAGTTTTTTTTGTCCCATACTAGATGGAAAAACTTAAAATTAATTTTAACATTAAATTTTGATCAAATAATTAAATTAATCAAATAATATTAAATTAATTATCTGTGAACAATATTATAAATTTAAATCAAGGTAAAAATTTAAAGGACTACTATACAATCTGTTGTAATATAATCTGAGATAGATAGTTAAATATTAATTAAAAGTCTTAATTTAATTTAAATTTTATTTTATTTTACAATAATTTAAGACTTATAATTGATAAGACTTAAGTTTGTTAATGTCAGTTAGTTTAGTCAAGTGTTTAGTCTCAGCACTACTATGTACATGTTAATAAAATAAACCATTCAACTTTAAATACTACTGTGAAATGGTTCAATAAATTAATTATTATATAATCCATAATTTGAATATTGTGCTTGTTTTGTGATTCAATTTATTAGATTTCTATTGATTATTAAACGGTTATAATTTAAATTGAAAGGTTGTATGCATTGAGAAAAATTAAAGATGCATTCAGAAGTGCAAAACATGAAACAGATGTTGTGAAACTGGATAGTGCTCAGAAGTTTGCTGAAGAAAGTCTTCGATCAATTCAAAGACAGGTAAAGTTTGTGTGATGGCAATGCAGACCACAACTGTGTATATTATTTATTTTATTATTTACTTTAAAAAAATTTCAAGGTTATCATTAGCCAGTTCTACAAAGCACCTCCTCTTGTGGTCGAGAAGTCTCCACAGCAGCAGCAACAATAGAAACCAACATGACCACAACAACTTGGTTGTCAGTGGTCACTCAGTAATAAACAACAGACACCTCTAGAGACAACAACTCATTTACACATTATGGCACATCATGAACTAAAGCCAGATCATTTAAAAATTTGAATTTACTTTACTCTGGTTTATATATTAATAATACATACAATGTACATTTCTCTATATCAATTAAAACGTGTTGTAATTGTAATTCATTTTTATTTTGGCTTTTAAACTGATAGCTGTATATTTTAAAATTTGAAAGTTTGCAAAGTTTAGCGTAATTTTTTCACATCACGAATTAATTTTTCATTTATTGAGTAACATGTTCGTAAAGTTGTTAACTGCACGAAGTCATCTCGAATCCTTGAATCTGGTGCCAACAATCTTCAGATGTAAAAAAAAGAACTACTAACCACTCACATTGAATCGTCAAGCATTCAAAATCTCATTTCATATATACCAAAAATAAGCTAACAGTTTAAAAAAGTAATCTAATGTTCCTAAAACTCATTTAAGTGCCAGAAGTCAGCAGTTTATCGGTGCTGACGTTTGCGCGATTCGTGCGTGTAATTGTAAGTTATTTGTATTGTTAACATTCGCCGTTGAAAATACTACATCACTTGTCTTCTACATGTATTGTGAAGGTAGATTGAAGAGATTTAATTTAGAGGAAGTATTTAATTAATTCAATTAGTTAATTTAACTTTAATAAGGTTTAGAATATGAAAGACCAAAGATTAAATGCGATTACGACTCAATTAGAACGCCTAATTGGCATGAAAAAAGGAACTAAGGTAATTGTTTAAAATCAGACCCGTTGTGATCATTGACCAATAATGGAGAACGTGTGTACATAGCAATTTCTTAATTTTCTCAATGACTCGACGCATAAGATGTAGACGAATAAATTGAGTTGAATTTTATTAAACGAAAAAAAAAATAAATAAAACGTACAGGTAAATATAATTTAAAATTCCAAATATTTTATATCGTTAATTATCTCATATCACAGACAATAGTGGCTAAAGTGGATCATACCGTACATTAGGTTTCGTAGGCATCTGAACGCTGAACCGGCGCCATGGACTTTATATCACAACTTAAATTAATTAAATCAATGCATTGTTCGACTGAGCTACGCATAAATTGTGCGCTTACCTCATTAGAAGGACAAATTATCTAGAGGAATACGCACGTGTTACGCGATGCGCGTCATTTTAAATTATGCAGAAAATATTTTAAGGTATCAGTTATATTTACACGTACATGCACACACACATACCTTTACATATTTTCACGCTCAAGTACATGAATGCAACACACTTGCACGCACACACACACATAATTCTCTAGAGTAATAAAACACTCATTAAAATATACATGATGAGATAATTGCCCTTGCACTTATCTAATGAAGATCGTTTAATAAATTAGTATAATCCGATATATCCATGCAAAAGTTCATAGATGCATATATCACATTAGAACAGCAATTAATATAAGGATGCAGGGGCTGGGAATAAATCCCCGTTCCTATCGAATATCCCGACATCGAGTATCCGTGCTAAAAATGCAAACATTCAATCAATAATCAATTGTTTATAGCTTAAAAGATTGATCACTTCATTTAAGTCAATCAAATTCATGTTCCAAATGTATACGCAAAAACAAAATATATCGAGTTGTACGTATTGTGAACATGTGTATGTGTGTCTGTGTATGTAAGTCTGTGTGTGTGAACGTATGTGTGTGTGTGCACTTACAATGGTCGCGATTATTTTAACAAATGATCGGAAAACACTAGAATACATTAAGGGCAATCATAAAACAATGGTTAACAAACAGATTGAAACATAATTATGATTGTATATGACAAAAATAAATAGCGGGTTAAAATGTTTTTGTTTCCAAAATGCTTTCATTCAACCAGTTAGTTTCTCCCTTAGTTTTGTCACCTTGTCTTTATTCCACAATAACTCTCTCCCTCTCTCTCTCTCACTCTCTCACCATTTCATCAGGTGATTGCCAAAGGAGGTGATTATTCAATTATCTCCTTTTAGCACCGCCAATCATCTGCAAGGTTTTCTTCATTAGATGTCCCATCTGTTTTTGACCACCTTTAGATGAGGCAAGCGAGGTGCCCTGTTTGGGTCTCCCGCCGTTAAAATGCGTGTTTCCATTGGATGCAGATGACTGCTGACCACCCCAGCCACCTCTTCTTCTTGTCGGCACGATGCATGCGTCAATGAACTTCACTTTATTCACTGTCAACAATTTTTATATTTTTTAATTTCTATGAAAAATAATCCCAAATTAAAATTTAAAAACCCTTCATAAATACGATGGATGTTAAATTGTATTATCACCTACCTTCGTTCTTCACTTTTGCACTGGAGGCACCGATTAGTTCAACGCATTTCTCCAGCTTGGCTTTTCTTTCTTGCTGACCATCCTGCAAAAATAAATAATTGTATACAACTATAAAAATGTGTGAGTGCGTGCGTGCGTGTGTCCATAACTAAATAACTCCACATCAGCAAACAATCAAAATTACGAAATGAATTTTTCATTTTTAACAAATGTGATTCAATCAAGTAAGATTGACACAAACCATGTAGACTTCTCTCCAAGTCTCCATTTCATCCAGCCTCTTATTGGGGAAGGTCCTCTTACAGTGGTGCATCCACAGGTCGTCC